CCCTCTATTAAAACTCATACAAATCTAGGCCCCCCCCCTAATGTTTTTTAATCAACTTTCAATTGTAGGCCCAAAACCATAAATTTCCGGGGGGTGGCAGTTTTAATATTTGGGGAGGCTTTAATAATAGTGGGAAGCGATTACAGAGTTCTGTATGTATGTAAGTATGTACGTAAGTATGCCTTTCTGCAAGTATGTACATGTAAGTATGTATGTGTATATGGATGCATGTACGCACCTCTCATGTACAGATGTATGTGGGCATATATGCCGCCATGCATTTATGCTTGCACGTGTGCATGTATGTATGTGTGTGTATCCCTAACCCTCCAGGTACCTACTATATAGGGCCTTAGGGGCTCTAGTACCCTATATAGTAGGTAACTGGGGGGTTAGGGTATGTTTGTGTGGTTATATGTGCTCCCCCGATCCGATCGCCTTGTGGGGCCTCGGGGTCCATGGGTCCTTCTTTCGTCTCACACGCGCGATATGACACGAGGGTTTAGGGGTTTAGGGTTTAGGGTTTAGGGTCCTTTCCAGCTTTTTCATGAAAGACCTGCTCCCACTCTCTGCTCTCTAGTGGCATCTGTCTGCTCTGGTCTCCTTCGACCCCGGATGAATTTGACCACCACCCCATGCACTGATTCTTTGCAGAATAGCGGCTTCCCGATCAGGGGTCTCATTACATAGTACTCTGCATTCTACCCTGCAAAACAGAACTTGGCAGAAGCCGCCTGGCTCGAAGCGCTCCACCTTAGCAATCGGGTTGTAAAGCGCAGGACGTAGGATGGACATCTGCACCCGGATCGTCGTCGTCCTCAACACGACGAACCAGACGATGCAAGATGTAGATGCTGCCTTTTGTGGCAACCGCAACACAAACATGCGAGGTCCGAGCTCTACTGCTGGTCGACAAACGGGCTACTGCTGCAAGCCTGATGTAATGCTCCACTTGTTGATCGGTTCACTGAGGTACCATGAACGAATCATGTGTGAGTGCGGGTCTTGTTGCAATCACTATTTCATTCCGGCTATCATTCACGCCGCTGCTGCTGACTATCACTCAACCCTAAACCCTAAACCGTGGCGAAACCAAAATTCCAGCTCGACAGGCCTGCTCACGACAAGCCCTATAAGCGAAGAAACAGGATAATGTAGAGCCTTAATAATTAGAATAGGGTTTTGGGGTATGTTTTACTACAGTTATAATTTGGAATCCCCAAAATAGTATAGGTAATTATTTGGGCCCCTTTTATAGCAAGATAAGAGGGGCATCCTAAAACAAATCAGACCATATGGTTTCAGGAAAGCCGTATCTGAACGTCTTAAACCTCAACCCTGATAGGGCGCCGGCGCTGCCCATCATTGCACCGAGACCCAGCTGACCTCGGACACGAGGGATGTGTGAAAATGACATCTTTGCGACATAACAGATTAATGTACAGTACAGTACAGTACATTACAGTACAGTACAGTACAGCATAGTGCAGGGCGCTCACGACTCGGACAATGCAGTATAATGTAACATAGTAGAGCCTGAGGTTGCTGATTGCCGAGATGGTTGGCAAACACGAGATAGGGCAAATGGCTCGGAGCCACGAGCATCAGAGTAAAACACGCCATGATCAGATTCCACCAACATATACAAACCCACATACATGGATTTGTCTTGGTGTTCATCTATCTAACAGCTTTTCACCCATTTACCATCATTTAGCAATTCGTTTACATATAAGTTTATGTGCAATATAAGTATGTTTATAAGTAAATATGTATGTAGGTACGTACGTACGTACGTACGTACGTACGTATGTATGTATGTATGTATGTATGTATGTGCGCACCCAAGTTGCGGCACACTGAAGACTGCACCCGCGCAATCTTTTTTGACTCGGTGCGAACTCCACTCTTGGCTGGCAGTTTACGGGGTGCTCCTGCAAACACGACCCTGCGACCGCCATTACTCTCTTGAGCATTCCCAACCCTGAGCTTAAAGGAACTGACAGCGCAATGTAAACGTAGTATGAAGCGCAGCAAAGTACCAACCGCCAAACAATACGAGTTCGCATCCGTGCATGTCTACATCTGCTTGCAGGTCTGCTCTACAGTCTTTGCAATACATCAGGCTACGATATGTTACATTCCATTGCCGTAACAAGGTGTACCTATACATGTAACGCACATACACAGGGAGATAGAGGCACAGTATCATGATTCTCCATTGCATGGAACTCGTTAAATTGAAGCAAGCAATGCCAACCTATGATTTCGGAACATCTCACGGAGTTGCGAAGCTGCAGGGGTCAAGAAACCATGAAGCTTCACTCTCTGTCCGGCAAGTCTATCTCACAGATCCCACAGCACGCGCGTTGTCGAGGATCTTCGTGTTTCCCTTGTGGATCTTCACCTGGGCTGCTCGGGAAGAACCACAATATGACTACGGCAGCACCTGGCAAACTGTGTACTGCGGTCCAAGGTACATGCAATTCCCGGGAATCTTTCTCGGACTCATTGCTTGGGTTGGCGAGGAAGCAGCCGGCGAGGATCCGAACCGCCTGAGAGCTGCTGGTCTTTGAGGGTGTCTGTGTGCGGTTCGGGGCGTTCCGGGTGCTGACAGCTTCCAGTTTGCAAGGCAGGCACGGTTCTAGATGTCTCGAAAGCTTAAGTCGCCCTGCCCACGAGCACCCCACACAGTCCGCTGATGACGAGAAGTTACAGAAATTGGAGCATTCGTCACGATTAAGACTAAGATTGGCATTGGGATCATTTCGACATCCTAAACTCAGAACTTACAACTCTGAGCCCAAAGCCGTTACACATGAGCCCGATATCTCCCCACGCAAACCTGACCCTCTTTCTCACTCAATAGGGTTTAGGGTTTAGGGTTCCTTAACCCCCCAGGTACCTACTATCTAGGGCCCTATATAGTACCTGCGCGTAAGGGAAAAGATCTCTTACTCTTCCGGGGCCTTCTCTGCGACACCCGCCCGCTCGAACTGGCAAAGCCCTTGGCCTCGGGAGCGTCCATCCTTGACAGGCGACGCGCCGACGCGCACCGGGTGCAGTTCCGTTCTTGTTCGCTTTTCTCTGTGTCTGAAGAATCGGTTCGTGGAAAGTGAAACAAGCGACATGCGGACATGAACAATTCGAGTGCATTTTAAAGTTGCGCTCTCGAGCACTTGGACATAAACGCCAAGACAACAGCGCTAGAAACAGTAGAAGCTGTCGTGGCAGATGTCGTAGCAGCAACAGCAGCAACAATCGCCTTTGGCAGCAGTCAGTAGCAGTATAGGTTCTGTTTGGGGCGCAATGGATACAAGAAAAAAGTTGTATATAATACAATCTAGAAGCGGTAGCAGCAGCAGCAGCAGCAGCAGCAGCAGCAGCAGCAGCAGCAGCAGCAGCAGCAGCGACATAACCAATATCAAAGACTAACATCACCGACATGGGCATGAACAAAGCCAATCACGATGGGTTTGCAGGGTAAGGAGGGCCTTGCGAAGGTCGTTCACATCCTAATTTCTCGGGATTCGGCGCAGTTACGTACTCTCGTGAAGGATGCGGCTTAAAGCAATCCGCGGATGTCCCGGATTCAATAAAATAGTGATGCTGTGGCGGCAGTTGGGGCTTTCTGTTTGCGTGTTGACTGGGTTCGTTAGCAGCATAAAAACCTCATGGACCCAGGAAACACAAGCTTGCAATGCTTGAGGTCATGCTTACTGCTGGTCGTAAGTTTCAGTGCGCGGCTAGGGATTGCAGCTGTGGGGCTTCTGGTCTTGCTTCGCGTCACTGTTGTACCTCTGCTCTCGCTACGTGCCAGTGCCAGCAACTGAGTATTGCTAAACCCTAAACCCCTAAACCCCTAAACCCTCAACCCCTAAGCCCTAAGGACGAGCACCAGGCCTTCAGGGTGAAGAGGCGAAGGGCTTTCACAGGACCAGCGCGTTCGAAGAGCGGCAGCAAGTCCTCTTCGTTCACTTCGAAGGGCACGTTGTGGAAATACACACAGGAAGACTCCTGGGAACCGGCTTGCGGATCGCAGGCCCTGACGACTCAAGGGGTCCAGGCAACAACTGCCTATAGTCTCCATTGTTCTTCCTTTTTGGTGATACCTTATAAAATCCTTCATATAACTGGTTAAACCAAAAAAGGAACCCCTAACCCCCCAGGTACCTACTATATAGGGTACTAGAGCCCCTAGGGCCCTATATAGTAGGTACCTGGGGGGTTAGGGAACTGCAGTGGAGACTATAGGTGTGGTCCAATTATGACTGCTCCCATTCCCCGAAAGTCCTCGGCTTCGGGCTCAGAGGAGACTTCGGGCTTCGCAGGTTCTTCAACCTATACTGAACTTAGACCCCTAACAAAAATTAAAATTTTAGCTGCTTCTTCAGGTTTATAGTAACCATAAATTAAAAATTAACCCCCTAGCAAAAATTATAATTTTAGCTGCTTCTTAGGGTTTATAGTAACCAAAGATTAAAAAAAAAATATTTCTAAGTACCCCCTAAGCAACGGGCTTCATCTCTTCGTCGAAATCCTTTGCAGGGGCCTCCTTCTTGGTCTCGACCTCACAGGACTCCTCGCTGGACAGCTCGGGAGGCTCTGCTGCACGAGCGTCCGTGCAATGCGAGACCGAGTCCGAATCTTCGGCCTTGCATTCGGTTTCCGACTGCTCCGACTTCTGCTTGGGGTTGTAGAAGGAGATGCGGCCATCCGCAGCTTCACTCGGGGCCAGGACTTTCGCGTCCTCCACCTCAGCCTTTACCGCTTCTCTGGCAGTCCGCGGCTTGAGAACGGGCTGAGGAGGCGGTGGTGGCGGACTCATTAAAACCCCCAGCGGCTTCAGCTCTGAGGTCTCCTCCGTCTTCGCTTGCCGGGCACCAGGAGAGGAGCCTGTTCGGGCTCTCTTGTCGGGGCCCCGCCTCTGTGCCTGGGGTCTCGAATTCCGCTGTTCGTTCCGTCGGCCCTCGTTTCGAGGCGCTGCAGTGCGTGGAGGCTCTGCAAGCACCGTAAGCTCTGAAGGGTAGATCTTCTCACCATCCAGAATGTGGGCTGCCGCCAGCGCCCCCTCTGGGGACACAAACTCACAAAGGCCCATGCCCTGAGACTTGCCATCTTCTCGGAAGATACGAAGTCTCTTCACGGAGCCAGCCCGTTCGAAAACGCGCTTGAGCATTCCTTCAGTGACCTTTTTAGGGGCATTGTGAAAGAAAACACAATGCCTCCGTGCGGCCTCTTCGCCATTTTCGTCGAAGGGAGGCGGGGGCGGTGGTGCGGAGGAGGACAGGCGCTTCACCAACAAAGGCTTCACCTCCTCCTCCAGGGAACTCCAACCACATCGATTGAATTATCGCCCTGCGCTACACGAGTTACGTGACGGATGCCCTGTGCAGGTATATATATATATATATATAGGGACCGATGCAGGGCCCTACATAAGCAGGCTGCTTGTCCTCCTCGACGTCCTCGGCGGGACCTGTAAAGACACGTCGCCGCTGTTCGGGCGCCTCCAAAGGCGCGAAGCAAGCAAAAGACCGCACTCGATGACTATAATCTGTTTAGTCTCGTGTCACATTCCCATGGGTATAATTCCCCTGATGATTGGTTCTATTATTCTACGGCGGTTTTTCTGTACATGTCAGAATACTAATATATGTGGTACCACGAGTAATACATGCATCTGGGTTTGGCAATGCCATTTGATCAATGTGTTTACATATGTTCCCATTGTGCTGAACATGTTGTGCTCGTATGGTCTGAAGAGGACTTTTCTGCAGACACACAGACTATGTCCTAACAGCAAAACAAGACTAAGCCGTCCAATCTAGTGTGGGTGAGTTGGGAGCTTCAGAAAACGAGCAACAGACCCTGAGACAGACTCAAAACGTAGGTCTTCAATCGGCACCTGCTCATGGACAACACTGCGGGCAAAGAGCAACATCTGGTACACTGCAGATTAACCTGGAGTTCCCTAAACCCTAAACCTGTTCCGGTCAAGACACCGGCCATGTAGGACGAAGCAATAAGCAAGTGCAAACGCATGCGGAAAGAAGTGAGGCCCGAACCCTTTGTTGATACATCTGAAACACATGTAAAATCTATCTGCCTATTTTGTTTTTATAGATGTTTACTGAGATCAAAATACGACCACACATCATCGGATAGTCCGGAGCCCGAGCCTTCTTCTCTCGTAGGACCACGGCACCTCCCTCCTGTCTCGCCAGGGTGTTTTCAACTGTGTCGACAGCATTCCCAGGCCAAGGGTTAACGGTTCAGATCAGTTTAGGGTCAAACATGCCTCATGCATTCATCCCAAAGCCTGAGTACTTGTCTCCCCCGTCTGCCGATTTCAGCAGAAGCGAGGTCACAAGCTCATGCATCTACAACTGCCGTCTTCTGGCACGATTTCTCGAATTCTGGATACGCTATCATTCTGAATCTGAGCCCAACTACTCACGCCTCTATCCGACTCGAGGCCCAACCGTGAACAATCCAAAGCACGCAGCGGCCCACAATGACACGAGATCCCGAGGCTCGAACTACGACACTGTAGTCTGAGGGCATCAATCAATACATCCCAGAATTCCACAACTTGAAGCCCAACACTGAAGCAAGCACTGTGCTGCCAACCCAAAGAGATCTGTATCATCTGTGTCATGCAGAATAGTTCATTGCACAAGCCAGTCCTCGCGGGGTTTGAGCGCAAACCGCGGCTGGAGCCTCGCCTGAGAACGAATCACTTCTTTTGCCCCCGCGTTCTTCATTCAAGACTTAGTTTTGCTGACCTGGGATCGCATTCGGGCATGTTCCGATGAGGTCTCACGGCATATACTTTGGCAGTCGCACAGGCTTGTAGCGTCCAGCGAGGTCAAGGTCAAGGCATGTACACTCTGGGAGTTTGTGCCGACCTGTGCGCCGACTTCCTATGAACGACGACTTTAGCAGCCTGCTTAAAGCTCTCGCAGCATTTGCGCGACACTTTTCCTGTCGGTCTGATGGCGAGCCGTCCTATGTGCGTGCTTCTTGACATCTTGTTCCTGCCTCAGGCCGACTTTGGTTCAGACATGGCTATAAGGTGCTTAGCCGCTTAGCCCTTAGATTCCCGAGACACGGCTCGGGTCTGTTCTACGATCAGCTCCTGGAACACTCGGAAGCTCATGTAGGAGCTCACCACGCCCCCAAGGATCATTGTGGAGACGATGATGAACTGCTGGGTGGCCACTGAGTGACCCCAGTGGAACTCGTTCGCAAGCAAGCCGGAAACCATGATCATGTACGTGGCGGTGGCCAGCAACGCAATCTCACTCCGATTCCATGCCGGAGTATGATACGGCTGGGCTGCACCATAGAGCAGCAACGAGGAGAAGACCACCGCACCTAGACAACCCATCTGAAGAGCCGGTGCAGATGCAATGGGGAGCATGGCTCCGATAAAAGTCAAGAGCGTCTTCCTCACCAACCGCTCCATCTCAAACAGGGCATACGTCTCCTTGTACTTGCCCGTCAGGAAGACAACATGACTTGGTGGAGGAAGCTCCTTCGACATGGAGAGGCGGACCCATGCCAAAAGGGCGACAGTCAAGAACAGGACGAGGCCGGCGCACACCTGCACGAAGCCGGCACCCTTGGAACCCTCCGGCAGAAACGGGCAATGCAGGCGCTCGAGGCCAGAGCCGTCGTCCGGCTCAAGGCGATAGCATACCATGTACTTGCCAAAATCCGCTACGATGCTGGGCAAGAAGCAGTTCAATCCAGCAGCGAGAGCCACACGGTGGTCCTTGACCAACGATAGGATTACCACTAGGACAGCTGCCACCGTCATGTCCAACATGTGCGAGCCCCCTAGAGTCTGCTGAAAGCCGATGTAGGACAGCAAGCACTGCGAGGAGGCGAAGCCTACGGAACCTTGGCCAGACCCGGTGTCAGCCACAACCATGGCAGCACCAAACAAGAAAGTGATTGCATTGCTCTTCAGGTCCTTCGCAGTGTTTGTCTGCATCACTGCTGTGAAGACCATGGTCGATATAGTGGCGAAGGCCATCAGCTGATTCAAATAAATGCTGCTCTCCTTCAAGTCGCCAGCGCTTTTGGCGCCGGCACTCGTGGCTGTGAGGCCGAAAAGGAGCATTCGCTGGGAGAGGAAAAGCATCCACTGCGATGCCTGCACAAGTCTCTCGTCACTGCACCTCGTGCATGAGAGCACACTGCTGTCGGCCTTGGCATGGCCGGTTGTGCACCCAACACAACCTGGGCCATTGTAGCCTTCAGCACACATGGGGGTCCCACCCGGCAATTGACCACCAGGGCAGGCAGCCTCGTTTGGGCAATGGAAGCTGCGGCTGACATTCGTGTGCTCCACCATCGTCCCACTCTGCATCTCGAAGTGGCTGGCAAAGCATTGGCGTGCTTTGTCAGGGCAGTGAAGGCATGGCTCGCTGCTGCCGAACAAAACCTGTGTGTAGCCCTCGGCACAGACCAGACAGCCCTGATCGAGCGAACTTATGCCGCTGCCCACTCCTGTGCCCACCGGGCAGCGGAACCCAGCCACATGCGCTGTCTTGGCACGGAATGTACAGCTGCTGACATTGGTACAGTCCAGCACATCATCTAAACGCAACGACTGCGCTGTTTCGATTTGAACACCGCCGGATTGAGAGTGAAAATGAGCTGCTTCGATTGCAATGCTACCTGCAGCAATGATGTCCACCCCATCGTTACCTGTGTTATCAGTCATGAATAGCTGCTTGAGTTGCAAGTCAGTGCTGCTGGAAGTCATCATGAGCGCCGACGCAGCTCTGGCCCGACAGCGCTCGAAACTCAGATTTGCGATAGCTTGTTCTTCACCAGCCTCAGACAATATTCCGCCACCAGATGCTGTGGCCGCGCAGTCCTGAAAGAGCAAAGCACCTCCGCAATGCAATTTCCCATCATCTTGGACATGAAGCCCACCCCCTTTGTCAGCACTGCAGGATCGAAAGTGGATGGAACCGTTCGAGAATAGGGTCCGGGCTGATAGGCCACCACCAGCTTGTTGCAATGCCGTGCATCTCTCGAAGCGAGTGTGGCCACCTGCTTGTGTGTGTGTGTGTCTGTGTGTGTGTGTGTCCACACGCTGGTGCTGTCGACTCGGTCGATACGAGCCGAGTGATAGCTATAGTTGTTTTGGGTATGCGACTTTTTCGCTATGGTGCAGTGATATGTTGAAGCAATGGAACGGGCATGTATTCTCCCTGTCTTCTGTCTGCGGTGCGGCACGCAATGTGCACGAAGCAACGACAAACTGCAAGTGTCACGAGGATGCGAGGGCGAGGTCGATCGATAATTTTCCGACAGCAAAAACCTGACACGTCGCCGGAGGATGATGGATGCCATGGTGGTTGATGCTGAACTGTGCCTGTATTTCGACAGTGGCAGATTGTGATCCTATGCATCACGACGTGTACGGTCGTGGGTTTAGGATGTGTGTGTTCTGGGATCTGTTTTGAATATACAGATAGGACGTAAGCACCAACATCTTTTTCTCAAATACTAGCAATATCCGTCCCAAGACATGTTAAGGTCTCTGGCCCAACATGGCCTTTCCTTTACTGCTACTCGTGATGTGTGCCAGCAGAACATCTCCGTTTAGGGTTGAGGAGCTTAATGAGGTTAGGGTCCATATGGGTCTGTCAAGAAACATCTGCTGGGTAGGACGAAGCACTTCGAACTGGCAGCAGTGTTTCTTCAGGCATGGAGTTGCATGTTGATGGTATCGGCGCTGACTTCCTGCGCCTTTGTTTGGCATGGAATGTGGTGGTGGGCTGTAAAGGAGGTTGTGCTGCGTGGAAGGGGGCGTTTTGCACTTTTTATCAGCTGCTTCGCAGCGGTAGCGGGTAGTGAAGGATTTCAGGTGTATTTTCTTCCTTCACCGTGCTAGCCAGCACGACATTTTCCCCGAAAAGCTTCGGTGGATTTACAGATCTGGAGTTGCGAGTTTCCCTGTCTCTTTCATTTTCTTTCGCCTCATCTACACGGCTGCACCCCTTCTCCGCTGTTGTTTGTGCCAAGATTGACATCTCTAGCCCTGGTTCGGGTCTCCCCAGCATCCTTCAGAGACGACGAGCACCATGTAACTCAGCAGCGGGCAAGATTCCAAGCGCTTTGCTGTGGCTTGGGTTCGGCTGCACATGCGTGGCGATGTTACAGGACTGCTGTGACGATGCCCCCATGGACATTGCTAACCCTAAACCCTAAACCCTAAACCCGCACATGCATTGCATGAGGACAGCATGGCGACTCGGCATGAGCAAGTATCAGTTGATGCCACAATCTTCAACCTGGCTCGTTTCGATAAACTACAAGGAAATGTTGAACATTATGACTGAAAACAATAACAGCAACTGCTGAGCACAATGAAAGTAATACCAAGATAGACAATTAGGCGAAGGCTACTTGTAGAACAAGTAAAATATGATTGGGGAAGAGTAAGTGCAATCAAACAATCGCATTAATATGTGAGTAAGCAATCAAGTAAAAATTGCAGGAGTGTCACAGGTGCTAATTCTCACGGGTACAGGAAGTTCCCTGCAGAAAAAGATTTAGTTTTGGATAAGGGGGGGTAGACGATTTTGTGATCGTGTTTTGGCAAGATCGGTTTTGGTTTGTTTTGTGCTGGTGGTGTGTATTGGCTGTGTGGGACGGGCTGGCATTGGCTTATATGCTCTGTGTATTGGCGTGATGTACAGATGTACAGACTCAGTACAGAGAAATTTGGGTGGGCCGACGGGCATTGAGACTGCGTTGCGCATGTATCAACCAAAAAACTGCCATAAACCTTAAGACCCGAATGGCCCGAGATGAGTGTGCCGGAAAACCCTAAGGCCCTAAACCCTGAGCCGCCTAACCCTAAACGCCCTAAGCTAAACTCCCATGTGAGCAGTTGTTTTGTGAGCAGTGACAGAGACTTGTTCACCGTGATTGTTGTTCATTTTAGTTTCCAGCTCCACAGTTCCACGGGTGCCCTTCCCACTATATACCCCAGTGGTAGCGTTCTGCTAAGAAAAAAATGTCAACAAATATAAAGCAAATCGGACGAATATAAACACAGAGTAAAATTCAACCAAACACAAAAATCAATTTTTCAAAATGTGAAACATATAACAAGAAACTAAACGACAAAAAAAATGAAAAACAACGCAAAATAAAACCAACGAGACAAATTAAACAAAAATAAAACCAACGAGAAAAATCAAACAATATCAAGAAGACCAAAAGGAACAACAAAAAATCACCAACACAAATAATTTGTCAAAACTTAAACAATCAAAAAGTAAACAAACTCGAAACAGTATAACCCCAAAAAAGCAACAAATAAAACAAAAGCGACGCACAAAATTAAAGAACAATAAAACCAACTAACAAAATAAAAGCAAAATTAAACCAACGAAAACATAGTCAAACATACAAAATAAGACCAACGAAAAAACGTAAAAACACGCAAAAATAAAGTCCTCAAGAAAAATAAAATTACTTTTTCAAAACTTGAAAACATCATCAAAAATCAAAAAATCCATAACAAAAAACCAACAAGCAAAATCAAATCCAAAAGCTTTAAAAAACAAAATAAAACACACAACAAAATCCACAACGAATCCACAAAAAATATCACAAAATTTAAAAATCAAAATCCGGAAAAGAGTTTTAAAACATGAAATCCGAAAAACAAGAACAAATCAAAAAAGTTTTCAAAGATAAAATCTGCAAAAAAAATTGAACCAATAAAACAATTTTTCAAAAAATGAAACCCAGAAAAACAGTTCACAAAAAAACGTTGTTTAAACAATAAAATTAAAAAAGCAAGTTTTTAAAAATGAATGCCACAAAAACACCAACAAAACGAAATAAAAATACGAAACATGAAATCCAAAAAATAGTTTTTACAAAAAAATCAGAAAACAATCCAAAAAAAGTTTCTAAAAAATAAAATCCACAAAAAAAATACAATCCAAAAAAAAAAATCTAAACAAATAAAATCCACCAAAAAAATCAAAAAAAAAGTTTCTAAAAAAAAATAAAATCCACCAAAAAAAATAAAACTCTTTTTTCGATTCTTTGAGAAAGGAAAATAACTTGTTTTATTTTTTGGGGAGGTTTTTAGCGTATACTTTTGCAAGAAACATGGAAATCCATAGCAAACCAGCAAAACCACCCGCCGAAAAAAAAACTTAGCGGGTGGTTTTGCTGATTTTTACTATGGATGTCTATGTTTTTTTGCAAAAGTATACCGCTAAAAACCTCTCAAAAAAACTGTATTTTATTTTCTACAAGATTCGAAAAAGTGTTTTATTTTTTTTGTTGATTTTATTTGTTTAGAAACCTTTTTTTTTGGATTTTTTTGTGTGGGTTTTACTTCTTAGAAACTTTTTTTTTGGATTCTTTTTTGGTGGATTTTTTAAAAAAACTTTTATTTGGATTTTATTTTGTTTGTTTTTTTGTTATTTTTCTGGATTGTTTTAAAAGCTTTTTTCTTGGATTTTTTCTGGTTTTATTTTTCGATTTGTTTTTTGATTTTGTTTTCTGTTTTTTTGTTTTTTTAACCTTTGTTTTTTGATTTTTGTTTTTCGGATTTCATGTTGAAAAACATGTTTTTGGATTTCATTTGTGTTTCTGTTTTTTGTGTTTTTATGTTATTTTTTATTGTTTTGATTCTTTTTGTTTTTTTTTTCGGATTTTAGTTTGCTAAGTTTTTGTTTTTGTTTTTTGATTTTATGCTTTTAAAAGTTTTGTGGATTTTATTTCTTTATTGTGGATTTTTTTGCTTTATTGTGGATTTTGTGATTGAAAAAGTTCGTGGCTTTGATTTTGTTTGTTGTTGTTGTTTGCTATGGCTTTTTTTTGTTTAGATTTTTCGATGGTTTTTTCAAGTGTTGAAAACTTTTTTGGAGGATCCTTTTTTTGTGTTTTTTTACTTTACTCTTTCGTTGTTTTCTGTTTGTTTTTGTAATTGTTCGTTGGTTGCATTGTTCTTTAAGTTTGTTCGTTGGTCTTTTTTTGTTTATTTTTTTGATTTTATTTTTGTTGTGGATTGTATTGTTTTGTTGATTGTACTTTGATTTTCTTTCTTTTTGTTTGTTATTTTTTTTGAGGATTTCATTTTTTTGACTATATTTTTTGTGGTTTTTAACTTTATTGTTTTCGTTGGTTTTATGTTTGTTTGTTCATGTTTTCGTTTGTTTTTAGGTTTTGTTTTTTTCGTTGGTTTTATGTGTTCATTTATTTGTCTGGTTGGTTTTATTTTTCATGTTTCATTTTTTACTGCTTTTTGTGATTATTTTCTTGTGTTTTTAGTTTTATATTGCTTTTTGTGTTTTGTTGTTGTCTTGCTTTTTGTTTTTCATTGTTTTTGTTATTGTTTGTTGTTTGTTTCATACGTTTTCTAATTTATTCATGTTTCTGTTCTCTATTATTTAGTTTGTTGTTTTGTTTTTCTTTGGAGAGTTTTTATTGTTTTTATATACATTCCAGTGTTTTGTTATGTTTCTTTAGTGTTGTTTCTATATCTATAGTGTTTCTTTATTGTTTCCTCCTTATTGAATTATATTTTTCATTTGTTGTATATGCTTTGTGTTACCTCTATTGTTCCTTATATGATTTGGTGTAACTAGTTAACTATACCACATTATTTTGAACTGTTATTGCTTTATTTTTTACTGGAAAGGTAATCTTGAAATGATGCTGCGAATTTTAGCTGCCCACCGTTTTGCACGTCATACAACGAAACCCGGGCAGAAAAACATAAAATAAAGTCGCGGACTGAACTTCGGGGCTGGGTCCTGGACCCGTGAGAATTAGCAGTCACAGGAGCAATGAGTTTACAGTTTACTAGTGCTTCAGCAAAGACAACAACCACAACAATGATCGTCACCGTCACCGCCATCATCAGCATCATCGTTGCCGCCACCATCATCATCATCATCGGGCTACCACTACCACTACCACAACCATCATCGTGATGCGCACGCGGCAATGCGTTCGTAAATGCGTTTGTCACAAAACTGGGTGGCCGGGGGTGTATATGGGCGTTTGATATTGTTGCATAGATGAACAACTTACAGAAAGACAACACACAGACACACACAACTCAACAAAGCGACATCCCACCTGCGCCCTGAGCGAATGTGGCATCCGCGAACATGCCGCCACCATCCCGCACAGCGGTGCAATTCTCGAACTCAGCCTGGCTGTCTTGCTCCTGAGAGAAACTGGTTACGAACAAGCCTCCACCTGCCCTCGCAAAGCAATCCTCTGCATGCAACTGGCTGCTCGTGTTCTGGATGAGATCGCCACGAACGCGGAGACCACCACCGAAGAGTTCTGCACTGCAGCTCGTAAATCTAGAAGAGCTGTGTCCTAGTTGGTAAAAACTCGCGTTAACGAAAATCCCGCCGCCCTCTTTAGCAGAGCAATTCTTCAAGATCGCAGAGCTGTGGTCTTCTTGATGAACATCGGCACTCCACACACCTCCACCGGTTTCCTTGGCACTGCAGCTTGTGAATCTCGCCAAGCTGTGCTCTGTTTGACTGAGGCTTCCCCCGATGAAAACGCCACCGCCGTGGGTTGCCACACACTGGTCCGCATGAAGCCAGGAGTCAAAGCCCTGGAGAAAGTCATCCTCAACGTTAAGGCCACCACCTCTTTTCTCCGCCCTGCAATAGCCAAACCGCGCAGAACTCTGCTCTCTTTGATGGAAGCTAGCTCGAGAAGCTGAGCCGAGGATGTTGTCTGGGCGGGAGAGATGAATGCCACCACCATCGGTTGCTGTACAGTTCTCGGCTTCGAAGGAGGAGTTCAAATGCTGGTGCACTTCTTTAGCGCAGGCCGCCACCGAACGTTGCCCGGCAACTCGCAAAATATACTTTGCTGTGATTGCTCTGGCGAAACCTTCCTCTGACGAAGGCGCCGCCACCATCTCGCCTCGCTCTGCAGGTCGTGAAACGTGCAGTGCTGTGGGCTTCCTGGTCATAGCTTGTACCGACAAAGACACCCCCGCCGTCGCGTGCTGAGCATGTATCTGCATGAAGCGATGCATGCGAGATCTGGGTGAGCTTCTTGTCAACATATAGGCCACCACCGTTTTCGCTTGCTGCACAGTTTTCGGCATGAAAGGAGGACTTCAGGTCCTGATACACGCTTCCAGCCCTCAGGCCACCACCAGACTTCCTAGCACTGCAGCTGCTAAAACGTGCGCTGCCGTGGGCGTTCTGAAAAAAGCCTCCCTCAACCGATGCGCCGCCACCGATGTTTGCTGAGCAATATTTCTAACATGAAGAACTGAGTGCGAACTCTGCGTAAAGGTGTTGGAAACGCGTAGGCCACCACCAAGTTTCTTCGCCCGGCAGCTCAACAAACGGGTGGTGCTGTAGGCTTCTTGCTGAAAGCTTCCAACAGAAACACCTCCGCCGTTTTTGGAGGCGGAGCAGTTCCACGCAAGAAACGAAGCATTCAAACTCTGGGAGAAATTCTCGTGAACACGTAAGCAACCACCACTTTCTGCTTCGCAGCTGGCACAAACTACGGAGCTCTCGCTTTGCTGATGAAAGCTTCCTCCGACCCAGGCACCACCACCGAAACGAGACTGACAGTTGTCAAGCAGCAGGGTGCTGCCATCGGAAACCGTCACGTTGCCGTTTGTACGAATGGCACCTCCTTTGCTCGGCCTGGCCTTGTTAACACAGCCAGAGAAACTGGCATGCCCTATGATCAGCAGGTCCCCATGCACTGTAATGCAGGGCCCGTCCATCTCCGCTGTGGCTATAATATGCACGTCACCCTTCAGAAAAAGGTTGGCTTTAAAAACCAACAGCGATTTCAGAAGCACCTTCAGCCCGAGATCTCCTTGCCATGTGCAGCTGCTTTCGAAAGGAGCGCTCAGGTTCACAAGTGTGGCCTCTCCTGACGTGGGGAGGATGCTACACGGCGGAGATTTTTTGTCGTCAGGTCCAGGCACTGTGACGGCATCTTCACTGAAGCTGAGACCGCTGATGGTCATAACTGCGGTTTCCACCTCCCGGCTGTCCAAGTGAAGTTCTGTCACTCGTTCTTGCGCACCTGGCGTGGTCTGCGCAGCTTGTTGACTGGCCAAAGATGCAGCTTCGGCAGCAACAAAAGGCATCTTGGAAACAAAGAGTTCCGGCTGTTCCTGGAGCTGCCAGCCATCGCGGGAGGGGCGGACTGCGCGGGAAGCGAGCACTGGTCCCAGCAGGACCACGGCGCGTGTGGTCGGAGCCATTTTGCATGGGAGCTAGCCCGGCACTTGCACGGATATGTACAAAAAACTATCAGGCGAGAGCTGCTGCCCAGGGGCCGAAGCCCGAGCTGCAAAGGCGTAGCCGTGATGGAATGCGTCGGGATTAAGACAACTTCCGGAAAGCGTGGAAGCCGCATCACAAGCCCGACGTATCGATGCTTCACTGTGGCATACCATGGTTGATGCCTTTAGTGGCACCTTTTGGACATATATGCATACACACACATACACAAACACATACGCATATTCGTACATACATACGTACATACATACGTACATACATACATACATACATACATACATCCATTCAAGCATGCATGCGTACATGCGCACACACATCATATAGAAGCAAATTAACTCATATCATATCATTATCACAATGTAGCATCACAGAAATAACATAATACGACAAAACATGACATAGGATACATCGTCCATAACATACAATGTAACACGGGATAATTAACTATGCAATAGTTATTGCATGTTATACAACATATGACAATGGCATTTCATATCACATCACAACATATAATGTCATGTCATGTCATGTCATGTCATGTCATGTCATGTCATGTCATGCCATGTCATGTCATGTCATGTCATGTCATGTCATGTCATGTCATGTCATGTCATGTCATGTCATGTCATGT